AAATAGTTCCACAAAAGCTTTAAGAATATCGATATTTGAAGGTTTTGAAAGAAAATCCCCAAGATGCTTCTTATTGATACGAGGCGTTTCTTTGAGAAAACGAGCAATACTGGTGTTTTTGTCCATTGTAGAATCGTTAATTATAATACCGTTAGCTTTTTGAATTATAGAAAATTATTAAGTAATGCTTGTTTTTCAGTTTTAAATAGCATCACAAAGAGGCGGCGAAAATACAAACCAAAACTAATTAACATCTTCGCTTCATTTACCTTCAAGAAACTCCAGACCAGTTTTGGGATTTTCGTTAAATTTTGATGCACCTTCGATTAAGATTTTTTTTTTATTTTTTCGATCTAAAAGTTCTATCGGAGAAGGATATTTCTGATTTGTTTGACAAATCATAATTTCAAGGAGAAAGAACGATATATATATTTTAGTAAATCATTCGCGAGACCAAGTAGAGATATAGGTGAATTACCGAAGGTCTTATTCCATCGTTATAATCAGTAGCAGACATTTGATCCCATGATTTTTTTGAGGTCAACGAATTATTTACATTTTTCTATAATTTTTCATTTGAAATAATTTGTAGTTAAACTTTTTTTGAAAATTTATGATGCTTATTATAAAGATTACCTTAGCCTGTAGGCGAGTCACTGTATAATTGATATACAATAGAAGAGCATCTAAACAAAGAATATGGGAATGACTAGCTGAATAGCCAGTTGAATCGGGCAAGGAATTCTAATATTTTTATATTAATATTTTTATAAATGAGAAATTTACTCTTAGATAATCGCAAAAATCCATACCCGACTTAAGAATTTGACCACATCTTCAAATAAATCGCCGCAATAAAGATTGCAATCATAATTCACCCATAAGTCAACCATAAATGTAGGTATTCGAGCAAATTGACCTAACGACTCTAGTAAAAGCTCTCGGACTTCCCCGGTAGCAATCGAGGGCTCACCGTTTGGACGCATCGTTTTTTCAAGTGGAGTTGACATTCCCGAAGAAAGTGGTGAATCGAGACTAACAAGAGTATTACTAAATTCAGAATTGATTTCAAGGTTGCTCGTCGGGGGTATTAATCTCTCTATGAGAAATGATAAGTAAAGTTCGCCTTGCAGTTTGAGATATGGACGCATTGTATCAAAAACCGTCGAGATAACACGAAGTGTGTAAAGCAATAGCAATATGTTTTCTGTTCTTGCGAGCTAAATATATAAATTATACTATTTAAATGATTTTCTTTGGCTTGTCTTATTTTATCTTATATTTGTATATAATGATAAGGGATTCGTGCCTAAAATAATTACCTGAAATAAGAATTTACACAAGTCATCTATTACAAGTTCCCTTAAAGGTTGGAATCGGCCAATTTTATGACCGCCAACCTCAAAAGCTACATTCAAAATACTTAAAGCCATAAGTCTCATGGTGTCTGTATGTTTATGATCATGAGGATCAAGTAAAGAAATTAAGACTCGAAGCAGCTCGTTTATTGAGGGTATTCCGAAAGGTTTTAAATCTGTAAAATTCAAAGATAAATTATATTTATCATTTACATGGCGAGAAAAATATTGAAGATCTAAAAAACCTGAGTCTTCAGGATCCTCATCATCTTGAGCTCTCTCAAACATCGTTTGAACCATGATAATCATTGTGTGCTCTGCTGATCTTCGAAGCAATTCTGTTAAATAAATCAAATATGCAAGTTAAAATTTGATCAAATCACAAAAGATAAATGATGGGACTTACCATTTAAACGCATCTGACAACACATACTCAACCCTGTTTCCATCATCTCACACAACGCTTTATCACTTAACACTTGCCCCACTTCACTGGTAAGTGCCAATCGTAAAACTTGCAAAATTTTTAATAGCACAATTTCATCAGATACCGGATCGCTCACTTCAAATTTGCAATGAGTAGCCGCGGATGAAAGATTCGACATGGCATCAAAAAGATTCGGCGAATTTATGTTGATAATTTTATAAGCTAAAAATTTTTCTACACTACTCAAGGCTGTTGCTGTAATCGGGCCATTCGTGTCACCAGATCTAATCACTTCTAAAAAAGGCTCCAGTAAAGCAAGTGCATCGATTTCGCGGACGTCTAATTAAATTGATTTTGCAAGACGAAGAGAAAATCGAGGATTTATTGTAAAAGAAATCAAAATTAAATCTCTATTTTATTTGTAAAAATAAAAAAATACAAACCGAATATATTTGATAATTGAATTCTTAAATTAGAAAACCCGGTCATGAGAGGACTTTCCTGTTATCATTTTCTATCATTCAAGATCTTTTGACTAGAAATGCTTTTCAATTTTAATAGAGCAGTAATTTTTCTACCTGACTTCTAAACGTATCTTCTTCCGCCACAGCTGTTCTTCCCCTCAGACCCATACTCATTCCCAGACCACCCATATTCAACCGACTCACGCTCATTCCAGACCATCGCGAATTCTTTCTCATTGCACTAGTCACCGAAATAATTTCAGCATGTACCAAATTGAGCCAACTAAGTTGGCATGTGGGATAACTCATAAAAAAGGTATCTTCCATGTTGCTTAAACTCTCATTCAAGATGTCTTGCTGAAATTCAAATTCTTCAAATTCTACATTTGACCACAATATAATAGCAAATACATATCAATACATAGTGACACTGCATGAGCATATCTGTGGCTTGTAATTTATAAATTAGAAGTAAAATAATTAATTGCGCGCGATTAGACACATCTCGAGCTTCTAAACTTTTGTCTTCTCGAAACCTTATATTTTAAAATTAATCATTAGCTTGAATTAAACAAAAATGTCATCAGAACAAGATGATGATTTTGCCCCGTCCCAAACTACGGGTTATAAACCTGGAGAAAAGAAAACACTCGATGAATATAAGAGCTTGGATGCTAACGATGAGTCGCTGAATAAATGGAAAGAATCTCTCGGATTGCATAAAGCAACCGGTGAATATATACTGTATATGTTGTAATTTTAATTAATATATTCGGGAGTTGTTGACTAACGTATTTATCGTTCAACGAATCTAAAGGGCCTTCGGATGACCCTCGCAGAGTAAGAATGTTTCACGTCATCATGTCGGCTTGATTAATTTTCTTTGGCATTAAAATTTTTATTTTAACAATGTATTTCCTCTATTCAGGTTGTAATTCTTCAACTTGCTTTAGAAGTTGAAGGGAGACCTGATGTCGTATTAGATTTGTCAACCCCAGGTAAATAAACACGGAGGGAGGGAGAGAATCGGTAGAAACGTATCAAAGCTTAGTTTTAAGATAATTCAAATTTTATCTTTTAATTTTTGCTAGTTAAACATAAAAACTCATTTCTGAAAATTTGAGAACAAGACTTTTTGACACATAACCTTTTATTTTATTACAGATGCTCTTGAAAAAGTCAAAGATCAACCTTTCGTTATTAAGGAAGGAGTCTCATACCGCATGAAGGTTAAATTTAGGTGATTATTGGTTAATTCATTTGAATTCATAATATTTTTGTGAAACTAGACCGTCCCTATTTTCTTTTGAAGGGTCCAACATGATGTAGTAGCGGGACTCAAATATTTGCAAGTTATAAAAAGAAAGGGAATTAGAGGTAATCAGTTCGTTAGATGATATTTGCATTCGTACATAAAAATTGTCATCTAACCTCTATTTTCGAGGTAGTTGATAAAACTGAGGAGATGATTGGTAGTTATGGACCCAATGCCGAACCTTATGAAAAAAAGGTAAGCTAATATTAATAATAAATATTCACATCGAGATTTTAACAATAATTAATAACAAGAGGTTTATTTGTATATAGTTCCAAGTCGAGGAGGCTCCTAGCGGAATGCTTGCACGAGGTCACTATGATGCAAAGGTATTTTGAATTTTAGTTTGAGTTCTTAATGCGCTGATATCAGGTTTAACTTGTATAATTCTTTTATAAATAATTCAGAGTAAATTCATTGATGATGACAATTTTACTCATATTGAATGGGCTTGGGTGAGAATTCTCTAAATTTATTGTTTCGATTGATATAAAGCATGTAATTAATTTTTTTTTATTTTTCCCATTAATAAATATCAGTGCTTTGATATCAAGAAAGATTGGAATTAGTAAAAAAAAATCAGACAAAATCAGTATTACCAATAAGGCTAACTAATATTTCAAATCATTCCTAGCACCCCTAATTTCCTAATGTTAATTTTTTTAATTAATTAGAGCGAAAATTCTTAATAAATCATTATTTTTACTCTAACACGACAGAACCGCCTAAATCTTCAATAGTTTTTTTAATTTTTTCTGCTTCTTCTTTTGGCGCACTTTCCTTAATAACTTTAGGAACTCCCTCTACAAATTTTTTGGCCTTTATAAAAACATGTAATCATATTATTATTGATAATTAATTTTAACAATAAATCATTAAGGAGGTTAATATTCTTTTATTTACACACCTCTACTAAATTCATCCCTTGGATAATATTTTTTATTTCACGGATGATTTTGGTTTTTGCTGTTGCTTCATATTTCTCTAATTTTACCCTAAATTCGGTTTTTTCAGCTGGCTTTTCTTCCTAAATTTTTATTTGATTCGTTCTAGTTTGTTATATAAAACATTTGACAGGATATGTAGCATATCGCGCAATAAATGAATTTCCAAACCTCAACTTTTGGTGCTGCTGCTGCTGCAGGAGCAGAAACTGCCGAAGAAGCCACATTAACCGTAGACATGGCTATATCTTGTATACCAAGTCGCGTCTATTGTATATAAACAAAAAAATGACATAACAAGATCCGTTTTCCATAAAGAAATAAATGAATACCTTTAACTGTTGAACCAGATCTGCAGCTTCGAGTAAATTCAAGGAGGCTATCTGATCTACAATATCTGAAATTTTTGTATTCGAATTACCATTATTCGAACTTGGTGTCGGCAATTTTTTCTGGGATTGAGTGGTAGCCTCTGTTGCATAAGAAAATATCTGATTATGATTTAAGGTAAAAATTTTGGGATATACAATTCTAAGAGTATATGTAAATTTTTGCGTTATTAACACATAATTGTTAAATCGAGTAAAAAAAAACTGGCATCATACACTACCTAGTAAAAATAGCTCGGTGTGACCAGTTTCGTGTATTTATAAAGGTTCTCAAACGTTGCTGTTGTGACTGTCAATTTTAAAGCGTGAATAATATTTTTTTCATTGTTGAAAAATAGATTCAGTAAAATTCGTTTAGAAAAATGATAATATTAATAATACCATTACGTGTAAAGGTCTAAAAAATCGCGAATTTTTTTTGTATTCCGAGATATCATCACCATAATGTCACAATACACAACCACACACTAAATTAGGTTTAAATCGGTTAGATCAGAAATACAAAATTTGTAGACTTTATCTTCTTTCATTCTCTTGTCAATCTAATATAATTTACTTAATTTTTTTTTGCCTCTTTGGCTTAATTTCTTTACTTTTCGATTATTTTCAAGATGTCAACCCGTTCTAAAAGAGATGCTGATAGAAGCTTAAACGCAAAGCATACACAGATTTTACGTGAGTGCTTACGGCAACCCGAAAATAGATATTGTGCGGACTGCAGAAAAAAAGGTCAGTTTATTATTAGTTTAAATACTGTCAACTTTTGTTGTAACTGTTGAAATTTACTTCTAGACCCTCGATGGGCTTCTTGGAATCTTGGGATTTTTATTTGTATACGATGTTCGGGAACGCATCGGTCCATGGGAACTCATATTAGTCGTGGTATGAATTTTTGTCTGTTTTACCTGAGTTCTGTTTTATAATTCACTCATCTTTCATGTAATGAAATTATTATTTTTTTTTTTAGTAAAATCAGTTGATTTAGATACATGGACACCCGAGCAAGTCGAGGTAATTTGTTTTACTTCTCTGATTTAACAATAAAACTCACTGCTTAAACGTACGTGTCTCATTATTTAGAATATGGTTCGATGGGGAAATGCCAAAGCAAATGCGTGAGTTAATTTATTTAATTCATATATTATTTGCACTCATTTTCATGTCGCATACACTTTTCTAATTTCAAATTATCTTTAAAAAGTTATTGGGAGGCAAATCTAAATTCAACGCCCCCTGAAAGGTATCGATCAAGTATTTTTTTATCCCTAAGTCTGACAATATGATCAAATCTTTATTAATTAATTAATAAATTAATAAATAAATTTAAGCAACATCGATCAATGGATTCGATCGAAATATGAAATGAAACGATGGGCTATGAAAGGTCCAATTCCCGATCCAAGCTCATTAAGCGAAGGATACTCCGTAAGTTATAATAGATTCGATATGTTGTAACTTTTTTGGCAAACCTTTGGGTTTTTTAATATTTTTTGTTGAATTTCAGATACAATCAGACAATAATCCATCAAAAAAAGAAAAGTCTAATGCAAAAAATAAAATCGATATATTAGTGTCCTCAGATGACCCAAATCCGAAATCATCTATTACAAACGCCGATGATAATTCAATATCACAACTTAAAGGAGCAGAATTATTTTCACTGGGAAAACCAAGTTCAGCCCCATCTAGCCCAACACAAGAAAAAGCTTCGTTGCCCCTTCCACGTTCAACTACTCCTAATCCCGTTCCTTCTCCTGCACCTTCACACGACATGATAAAATCATCTATTCTCTCTCTTTACAACAATCCAACTCCGAGACCTGTAGCCAATAATAATAACAACACTATTTTCGGACATCATTCATTCAATTCATCATCACCGACGCTATCGTATTCACCAGCTAGATCTAATAATTATAATACTAGTAATAGTGAAACGATGCCTCAAGGTGGTCAATTTTTTGGTTCGTTTACTTCTGCTACTCCACCAACTTCATCATCATCATTTGGTGTACAACGACAACCATCATCATCATCATCAACAACTACTCCTAATGATGAGTAAGTAACATTATTAATAACTAAATAAAAATAATTTAATTTTGAAAAACTCACAATTTTTTGTTTCTTCTTCAAAAAAAATAGTCTTTTCGGTGATCTGATGGATTTTTCGAAATTTCAATGAAATTTTAAAAAAAAGACAATCACAACTCTAATTATAATAATAATAATGATAATAGAAATGAAGAAATTTCTATTGTGTATTAGATAGATAAGTTTCTGTTATTAGAATATTGAAAATAACATCATCATCATCATCATCATAATAATAATAATAATAATAATAATAATAATGAGGAATAAAATAAAAAATAGAAGAAACTCAAGTACTTATGCTACAAAAATTGGCGATAAACCAGTTGCGATATCTTTTCCAATTTGATGAAAAGTCTTATTTTGGTGGGGTGGTTTTGTTGTTCATTACTAAAGAGTAAAATGATAAATATTTTTTTTAAGGAAAAATGCAAGTTTGCGTGTATATTTATAATAAATATATCTTTGAATTTTTTAATTGTTTTTCATTTATATTTATTTGCTTTGCTTGTGTGATGACAACACACAACATAGAGTCAATGAATGGAGATGAAGCTATAATGTATGATAAGTATACCATATAATAATCATCAATTTTTCACCCATACTAAAAAAGGCTAAGTATTTGCTCGAACTAATGTAACTAGGACTGTAATGTCATCAATTTTACTAAAAAAAAAATTGCCATTATTAAAAAGATTAGTAAAAAAAAATTCATGCAAGAAATTCAAGTTGTGACTTACCCTCCTAACCGACTCTCACCAGTACGCTTAGCGCTCTGCGAGAAAGGGCTAAGACGTTTAGGATTCAACGAATACTTTCTCGCGGTATCCGTCAATTTTCTCGCCAATTTTCTTAGTCGACTATTTAGTTCCTCGTTATGATTATTCCAATAGACTCGATCACCATTCAAGATATCTTCCAGTTCAAGGTAGACAAGCGAGACAGCCTCCTCAGGGAACACATTATCAAAGAATCCGTCTGTCGCTAACACAATAACATCGCCGTCCTGAAGTTGATGAGTTGCTTGGTATGCATCACTTGGTTTGTCTCTAAAATATAATTTTTGATTTGGATAATGATCCGGAATTACGGCCAGCTGATAAGGACAGTTAAAGAAATGTTGTTGTGAAGGTGATTCATATAATAGACGACCATTTCTGATTAGTAGATATGCCGAGTCGCCTAGACAGGCTGCTTTTAGTATTCCTGAATTTCGGGAAAGTGAAAGTATACAAGCTGTGGAACTTCCTATAATTTGATGGAAATCATTATTGATAAATATATGCTACCGAATTTTGTCATGTATATCATTGCATCGTGAAAGAAATACAAATACGAGAATAGAATAACACACCAGCCTTCACTTTTCCACTCTTTATTAGATTATCAAACGCCGTACTCAATATCTGTTTAGCATCTAACACTTTATCATAATAGCCGTCCGGTGAATTGAAAAAATCAAATTCTGTAGTCTCATAATTTTTTGCAACAGTTGCAGCATTGTCCATCAGCGCCCAAGAAAAATTCGCTGCATCAACACCCATCTGTAAAATTTATTTTTTTTTTTTACTTTATATGAATAATGATAATATGTAGAATATGATAATATGGTAATGTACGCATAAGCACTCGAGAGACGCGAAAACAAAATAAAGTTGAAGCAACCACTTACTTGAGACCAACCACCGACTCCGTCGGCCACTCCCATAGCAACACCACTCGATGTGCTTACATAGAAAAATGCATCCTCGCCAGCGTCAACCTTTCCCACTCTCTTTCTCTCTTTCCACCAAGGATGACCTGATATCGGGCTCATGGGTGTCTGTCGTTTTCGTTTTGGATGCCATGATACGGCAATTAGATAATTAAATTTTTTACTAGTGGCAATAGGTGAACTGGTGATTCGTAACGGTGTGGCATAAAAGCTTTTAATTAGCTGTTGTGATTGGATTGCTAGACGAAGTGATTGTGAGGCACTCGCGAGAATACGTGAGGATAAAGCAGGAAATATACCAGGACGATAAAGGGGAGATAATGTAGAGGAGGACATTGAAAAGGGTAGAAGAGAGAGTTCAGTGTTTACGTGTTTTTCTATATACAGTTAAATATTATGATTGTAATATAGATTATAATAACAAAAAAAAGTTAATTAAAGAATTGTGAAGTATTCGGTGGTTTGGTTGGGTGACGAGGACAAGACTCTGCTGGTTATACGTCGTGTTTCTCCTTATTATTATTATTATTATTATATTTTTATGATTTACCCACCGACTATTATTAACAAAATAGTAGTAGTAGTATTATTAATTGATAAATATCAAATTTATAATGAATACAAGCCTAGCTAAAAAGAGTTTAAAATTTTTTTCACAAAGTTGTGGTGATATTTCTTTATCGCTTGAGCGGGGAGAGTCAACCACACACACACACACACGCACTCTCTTCCCCTATACTTTCTATCTCGCTGTTTGGTTATTTGTATAAGTGAGCGTGTGTTTGCTCTTTGATAGACGGAGACAGGAAAGACGATACGTATGCAGAAAAAAATAAAGTATGGATGATAGACATGGTTGGGATACTAACCGACAATTGATTTGTTACCCACCAAAATTTTTTGATTCTAGGGGCTGTGCGTATGTTTGAAGGGTTTATTTATTTTTATTAGTCAATCAACCTGGATAAATATTGGGAATTGTTATTTACCATTACGAGACGAGTTATACGTTATATTTACACTATATATCCGTTTTTATAACATACTTTTATCCGTGTACGTCAAAAAAGCATATGCTAATCATGCGTAAATCCTCGGGATAGATCTTTTCCTAAATAAAATAGTCAAAGGGGGAAGAAGAAAGTACAGAGAGAGAGGGTGAGGGGCAGACAGACTACGTGGTTAGTTAATGTTAAAGGAAGGAGAGTAGATTATATAGTTAACGAGGATCTAGTTAAATACGCCATCCTTCCAATAAATTAAAGTCGTGGCGTGACTTTTTTTCTAAATGAGGTTTAGTGGATAATTTCCATGAACGCAAAATGGGAAATTACTGTTATATTTTGTGAGAGGTATGCAGTATATTTATTATACATACACATACACAATTTATTTATTATACATACACATAACACATACACAATTGGAAGCAATCGCTCATCTCGGTATTTTTGTTGTACCATCTTTCCGCTAGAACTTTGTTTGATAAAGATTTGACAGCCAAACAAAAACAATTGATGATAGTAGTTCCTTTAATGTGCGTACAATACCAATCCTAATTGTTCTAGGTTCTTTGTGTCAAAGGTAAAAAAGTCTCGATAGATTTTTGTTTGCAACACGGGGAACATTATATGCAATAATTAAAAAAATGCGAGTACATGTATTCTACACGTGTACATTAAGTTATTGTTCAAGATATTTCCCAAAAGTTTATATTTAAGAAGCTCCAATTTTTTCTTTGATGATTCCATTATGTGGATTTTTGTAAAGAAGCAGATGATTGTGAGCGTTTGAGCGAATTGTTATCACCCAATTCATGATTCTCATTCAACATTAATCCTATAAAACAATAATGTTAGCAATAATTCTGAAAACAAGCGGCAATAATTATGGAAAGGTATAATAAAATACGGACGAAATCGTGTTTTATCTTGATCTACTGAAACAGCTTGCACGACATTCCTGCGTAGTGTATCGGCGATTTCTGTGGCCCGATTAATTTGCTGTTTAAGAGAAAATTCATCAACATTCATAAAAAAAACAATAAAATCATGCAAAAAAGACCGATAAATACCTCCTGAATTTGAGATTCTTCATTCAAGTTTCGATTACGTAAAAATTCTTCTCTGGTTTTATCTCGTGCGGCTAATAACATATATATATCGGTATACATTCAAATAGCGTTTTGAATCGGATATAATTTTACCACTTAATGTACCTCGTAATGTAAGGATATCACCTATTATTAAAGAAATTAACGCTATTGCAAATTTCTCGAGTATAAAAAGCATTAAGAATTACCGTAAAATGTTTCTCGTTGTGCCTTCAATAAATCTCGATACGCCTTCAATACTGCATACCGTAAAATACGTGACGTTGCTGTTGCGTTGCTTTCTGCCGATTTGACAAACATTTGGGAAAATAAAATTATTTTTTAGATTCCGATCAGAGATCAACAAAATTTAAACTTTTGAGGTTGATAATTATAAATTGTCAATTTTACGATAAAATTATCTTCGAGATTATTATTCATTTGCGTCACCCATCAGATCATCTAAAAACCCAAAATTTATCTGCAAGATGTTTCTGCCGGTCACTTCTATATGCTAGGTAATCAGTAACAATATTAATATCATCAAGCAGTCACAAAATGATCAAGGGCCCTTCAATAATGCATACCGTACAATACATGACGTCGTTATTGTTACGTTAAAAAAAAAATCAAAGATCAACATTCAACAGCACATTGCCAAATAATAGTAAAAAATGATAAACCATAAAAGTCTTGCAGTTATCAATTTTCGTTCGTCAATTTCATCTTATTCGGTGACCACTATGAAAAGATGGTCTCGATCATCTTCGAGATTATTTTTACTTGCGTCACCCATCGGATTATCTAAAAACCAGACATTATCTGCAAGATTTTTCTGCCAGTCACTTTTATTAGATGATAATAATCAGATCAGTAAAGATGATCAAGGACCCAAAGACACTGAAAATGAAAAATTCAAATCAGATCCCAAAAGTAAGAAAGTCAGTCACCTTGATATTTGACCTATCGATTAAACAAACAATTGTTTTATACGAACAGAGACCGAGATCACACGTCGCAGGTTTTGGAAACAAGTATCTCTCGAATCAAATAACTCACAAGGTGCGTCTTTGAAAGATTATTTCACAGATTTCTAAACATACTAATCTTACTTAAAACAGGCACATACTCAATATTACTCGATAAACGACCCTTAAAAACTCCGAAAGGATCACCGCTCACAATTAAACATTCGCAAAGAACATTAGCATTATTATTGGCTGGTGAATGGGAATCACAAAAGACCGTATTAAAACATCATTCATTGCCATTGGTGAATAGAAATAAATACCTTTAAATATTCAATCGACATCGATCGTCTAATAAGAACATGAGACATTTTATTATAATAATAGACTTCACTGGTTTCCAGAGCTATTGATACTTTCGAGGATCGTAATTCATCAGAACGTCAACAAGCAATTACACGATTACTTAGTTACCTCGATACTGATACTGTGTGGTATTTACTGCATTTTTCGGTTATGATTTGATACGATAAATTTTTGCAATAATTCACCCATTGAAAAAAATCAAAACAGTTACCAACAATCCTATCCAGAGTCATTGGTTGAATTGCAAAAGCGACATTGGGATCCATTATTAAGATGGGCTCAGAAATTCTATGAGGTCGAAATTAAAGTTACCAATAGTATCATGGGTGTAAGACAACCGGAAAGTACCATAAAAAGATTGAAAAAAGTTGTCGATGAATTTGAACCGTTGAAATTGGCTGGTACTATATAAATTTTCTCCTTTGTATTCGTTTATTATCACAAATAATAATTCTCATCATATGATCTCTTCTTTACATTTTGATCGATAAAAAGCTTTTGAGCGTGCTGTCATGATCACCAAATCATATTTGATTGGCCTAGGTTTGGTGGAAAGGCAAATAAACGTAAAACAAGCGACGGAAGCTGCTCATGTCGAAATGGAATCCCAAACAAGGCAGTGGGGCATAGTCGAAGATGGTAAGTAATTACGATAAATTCGTTTACGAAAAACTGACTCCTCTTAATTTGTGATTTAATGTTTTTTTATTATTGATTAATTAGCTCATGATGTCGAAAATGAACACGTCAGGTGTCAACTAGGATCAGTTGCTTGTATATTAATTAACAATTCCTAAAATCATTATCGTTATTTTTTATTGTTTTAGACTACTTGGTTTAAGATCTATCATTTTAAATCTTACATGCATCAATTTGAAAAATACTTTATCAATTATGGGATTTTTTAATTGATACATTCCAGCATTAGTAATCATAACTCTGCTTGATTCAATATTTTTGGAAGCCATTCCTTTGGATAGCATAGTTTTGGTTTTCTTTTTTTAACATGTCGCAAATCAATGGGAATATCTTCAAAAGTATCTGTCTCTTCCTAAAAAATAATTAATAGTCAATAATTAAGTATACTTTTTAATTGTAATATTAATATTGGAATTAAATCACCTTCGCTTCCTTAATTAATCGATCTAACAAATCACTCAGATACTTTTTATTCTGAGCATGATACGGGAACTTTTCACAAACAAACTTCAATTCACCTCGATACGGAAATTCATCCTTATTAAATTTCGTGGTCGATTTCGGTGGACTGTAATGCGTGCCGCATAGCAATACAAATTTGTGCGCTTGTGCGGGCGTCAGATTCGCGTGTGTTATTAGATCGGATAGAGAGAATGTCAGTTTCACCTTTTTCTTTATTGGACTTTTTTCACCGATCAAGTATTCTCTTTGAAAGCGTAGAATTTGCTTCTCGGTTGGTGGATTAAAAGGTTCTGCAAATTCTATGAATGGATAAATAATAAGACAATAAATTTCATGATGTTCCAATGAATTTCATCATTTTTCAATTGAAGGAGTACATTGGTACAAACTTTTTAAACGTGGTAACTCGTATTTAGTTTTTCGCAAATATTTGCGTACTTCTCGTTGTGCTGACAATAAATCTTGTCCCGCGCTAGTCATATCGTCAAACTTGTAGTCGTCTAACCTTTCGACGTCATATCCCGCAAAAGCTTGAGAAACAGCAGGTCCGCGACGTCTGCGCAACAAATTCAAATTCCAGCTAACAGCACTTGTTGAAAAAATTCGACATTGAATAGATAAATTATTTGGTTTCGTTAGTAACATTTTTTTTCATGTGAAAACGTGTAAATTCTACAAGATCATTGTTACACGTAATTTTCTTACAAAAAATTTTTTTACGCGACAGCGACAGGATTCGAACCTGTGCGGGCAGAGCCCATGTGATTTCTAGTCACACTCCTTAACCGCTCGGACACGCTGTCATATTAAACACATAAATGTGTTCGAAGAAAATACCTTTAATGTTAGCTAACAAAGTAACATATCTGATTTAAAATTCACGGGAACAAAAAATCCTTCCCCGTAATAAATTATTTGAATAAATACTTATTTGCTTGAGTAATAGCAAATGACGACTAAATGGAAATTTAAATAAACAAAAATTGATGTGAGTGAGTTTCGTTCAAGATCTTTTGACTAGAAATGCTTTTTCAATTTTAATCGAACAGTAATTTTTCTACCTGACTTCAAAACGTATCTTCTTCCACCACAACCGTTCTTCCCCTCAGACCCATACTCATTCCCAAACCACCCATATTCAACCAACGCACACTCATTAACAACAAAAATAGTATTTTTATTTACCTACTTATAGTCATAGTCAGTCAGTTTGTCTATCAAATTTTATTATAATTTTGTATAATGAACTCATAATAAACAAAGTGTTCAATACCTCAAATTGAACCTTTTCTAATCACGTTACTGTTTCAATAATCACGGGATTAATTATTTTTGCGCGTCTAGAAAAAACGCGATACTAGCGAAAAAACAAAAATGGTCTACCAAGGTTATAATTACGAATGTCTTATCGACCAATTGAAGGACCAATCATTTTTCGGTGCCCCCAATACACTTATTTTTGTTGCGCCGGATGTTGACGCTTTATGTGCTTATAAAATGTTGGAGGTATAAAAGAAGACAATCTCAACATTGTCGTTAGTGTTATCGATATGATGTTTATTTTTAATTTTTATAAAAGCTTATTTTGAATGAAGAGTATATTTGCCATCAATGTGTTGCTATTTCTTCCGAAGAAGATTTAAGAAAGTGGGAGGATAGAGTCAATAAAGACGTAAGTAATGTTTTGTGTGGTTCCATAATATCTTAAATTATTAAAGAACTATTATGATGTTATTGATAAAGGTAGTCGGTCTATAAAACGATCATCTTGATCAATTGTGGTGGCGCGTTTGATATTGGGGGAATTTTCAAAATTACCAGTAAGGACCATTTGAAGATCTTTGTATTAGATTCTCATCGACCGTATAATTGCAGGACACTCTTTCACTATGATCAAGTACGTAGAGGGAAGAGTGAGACAATATAAATGTATTAGAATGTAATTTACTGTATTAATCATTGATTATATCCTGGAAGGTTATTGTATTGGATGAAGACCATTATAAAGATACTTTAGAAAAATTGTATGATAGTTACGCACGACTTATGGACCTTAATGAAAAATCACGCGTAAGAACTTTGCGTTTTACTACATTTTAATGAATACATTTATTTGCATATGTGTAAAAGATATGCCCATTTGTTGATAGGATCTCGAAAGACAGGAATCTGAATACGTGGAAGAAAGAAGAGGAAATAAACGGCAAAGAATAGAAACCAGAGCGGTTTGTTGAGAGAAAGAAAAAATTACGCTACTCGTATCTCGCGCTTTCAATTAAATTATTATTATCTATAATTGCTGTAGAGCACATCGAAAAAAGCTAAAGCAGACACTGATGACGAAAAACAAAAGCTTAAAAAAGAACTAGCAAATTATGAACAAAGCCCTCCATACTACAGCAAATCAGTCGCCCGATTAGTTTATACAATGTCGTTAAAGATATCAAAAGCTTCACTTGAAGATCATCCAAGCACAAAGAATTTACTTTGGTAAAAATAGTTTATTGATTATCAGCTTAGGTTCTGATTTTAATTCGTTTATCTGATCTAAATTTTTATAATCAAAGGTGGGCGATAATTGGTCTAGCCAGTCAATACATCAACAGCTTGATCACAGAAGAAGCCTATAAAGAAGAGTATACGTATTACCTTGAGGTACTAAAGCTCATTAAACATGAGGATATGAAGCCAATGTACATGGTTGCACCTGCAAATGGGAGTGATAATAATATTCGAAGTATTATGGAATATCCTTTATTAATTTTTTGTTCGATCTGATGCTTGCTTTTTATGAATCAAATATATAAATTGCATCTTCTCGGATTTTTTCAGTATGTATATTATGTCTTTAATATTTTGGCCTAAAAAAAACGTATCGATTTATGTTGCTCGGACATTGGTCATTATACGATAGCGTGAAATGTTCACAATACACTTATTCCAAAATGAAACTATACAATCAACAAGGAGAACAGAATTGGCGATCGTATTTAACTGAGATGGGGTACGTAGGTGTTATTTCCGGGGGAATGTTCGGAAAGGGAAACTTCGGAGATGAATCTGCCACAGAATTATAGTTACAAAAAAATCTTATTGGTTTTCAGAATTTCTCTTAATCAAAGTCGCCAAGAATTCATTGCTGTACGCACAGAAATTGGACCAAAACTACATGAGAAACTTGCAAAATTCGCCGAATCACATAAAGTCAAAGATTTAGAGTTTCCTTCTTTTGCGCGGACTTATGGATTTCACACAACACTAACAGCTTGTGACGCAGCATATGCATTGAATGCATTGATTGATACTTTTACGGAACACGCGGAAAGTGTTGGATGTCAAATTGATTCGGCTGATAAAGCTAGTAGTAAACTGGAAAAGGATTCTTGGTGGAACTTTTATAGTGCATCTGATTCGTTGGAAAAGCAAAGGCAAATATATATTATATATGTTAAACTCAAGAATTATGGCTAACAACCAAAACAAAAACAAAATAATTATTTAGGGTAGATGACATTACATCAGCTATAAAACTATCGAAAAATATTCAACAGTTTATTGTGGAACGATGTAACGAGATAATTCAAAAGAGAAATGCGATAAAGAAGGAAGGAAGAATTCATTTTGTAGTATTGGGAAGTGGTGGGGCACAAGATTTGCTCAGTCACCCTAGAATATTGCGAAGGTTTGCAAATTTCTTGGCTTCAGCATACAAGGTGAATAATAGCTACATATTTGAAAATAAATTATTTTCCAAGATCAAAAGCATTTAATTCTTTCTTCTTTACCTTTAAGGAAAAGTCCACCAAAGATAAGAAAATCGCCATGATTGTCGTAGTTCCGATACTTGATAATACATGTTACCTTGTAATTGGTGTGATGGCAGGACAAATAAAAAAGTATGTAATCTTAACTAACCTATCAAAAGTATCAAAAACTTAATCTCTCCTTAATTTAATAATCTCCATATAGTCCATTACCAACCCTATTCATTCAAACTATCGCCACATTACCCGAGACTATTGCAAATGATTTACGGTTTCCTTCGTTTAGTAAAGATGTGTTTGTTATACCACAAAAGGATTATGCGGTTTTTAAAGAAAAATTAATTTTGATAGATGCACAGGCTGCGAATTGATTTATTAATCTTTTCTGTATTACGCATGCCGAAACATTCGGCTATTATGATCATAAATTACATAAAATAATATTTTTTCTAATATTTAATTTATTAAAAACGATAATATGATCTCTTGAATTTTGGTCTTCCAAGTTTATTGCCATTCCTACTATTTGAAGAAGTATTTGTTGGAGGAGAATTTGTCGAATTAGTGTTCGTTGTAACAGTATTTGTTGGAGAATTTGTCGAATTAGTGCTCGTTGTAGTAGAAACGGAACTATTCGTCACCGGTGGCGCATTCGGATCAACGATTTTAATATCAGCACAACTAATAAAAGTAGTCGAGTCACCAGCTTCCCATCTCCACCTCAAAATACACGAGTCGCAAATATAATTTTCGGGCAGCTGCACACCACCCGTATAGTCATGTAAAACATCCACCGCACAATCAGTAAATTCTATCAACGTCAGCGGCTCGGCCGACTTTCGTCCGTCTTGCAGCAATTCTACAAAACAAGTGCCGCCTTGATGCGCAGCTCGAATTCGCCACATAACATTGATTGTTTGGTTTTTGGTGAATGTGTTGCCGTCGGGTATTGGGCCGTCAGGTTGTTGAATTCCTGCGCATGGCATTTGGTTTGTTGGGCCGTCAGTTAATTGCCATTGTGAGTCGTCGTTGATGTTGGGGTAATCGACGGGATTTATACGGATTTTTGGGTATAGCTGAAATTTTATTTTACGAGATTTAATATAATTGTTTTATAAATGATTATGCAATAAAAATTCTTTTACCATATATCCGTGTGCCGATACATTTTCCGCATATAAAAGGCACCACAAGAATAGAAGTAATGTTTTTAATGAATTATTTTTTAGAAATGATCGCATATTTGATGATTTATTATTCGAATTCGGCGAAAGCACAGCTTCACCAAGATAGACTATTTAGTCACTAAACAATATAAAGAACGTAATAAATAATAATTTCGTTCCCGACGGAAATCTAATCTTGGACAAACGACAAGACTGAATGTAAATGATCTATTAAAAAAGAACTGCTCAAAAAAGACATCGACACCTTTCATATTTATATACTGTTACGAAATACAAATCGTTGTTGATCACCGAACCACGCATACATTATAATGTATCAGTTATTGTTGTATTATTGAAACCACCCTATCTTTATTAGAATAATCAATTTATTTTTTCATTCTCTTTAAAGCTCACAAGGACAAAGCGAAAACGAAACTGATAGTGAAATTCTTCTTGTTCAAAAATGGAAATGCCATAATTGTTACACAACGTAAAATTTTTGCCATATCCAGTCAAATCTTGATACATAACGAAGCTTCAAAGTTTCGAGATAACGAAAAAACAAGCGGTTCTTTACACACAATTCTTAAAATTTCCATTGTTGGAAATTCGATCCCTGATGATCGAATATTAAAATTTTTCGTTATAATGTACTTGCGAATAAGAATGCAAATATGGGTAAAAATGTCTTTGAATCGTTATTATATCCAATTTTAGATATTAGGACCTATATAAAATATATGAAATCGAATAATTGCTTTCACTTCAATATTTGTTCATATATAATAACATTAATTATTCAAAATATATGAAATAAAGTACATTTATCAAATTAACAGCTTTGCTTTGTTACTTGAATAAAAATTTATAAAATAATTCAAAAATTCATGATTTAAAATATAGAATTTTACCTATGAAACTATTTTCCATGTTCCAACAAAAATGTTCCTTGAGAAATTTGGCTATAAACATGTTTCTTAATCAATTAAAATTTTAAGAGACTCGATATTATCGGACAGTAAAAACCATCAATGATATGCTAGATACATGGTATCCCTACTGCTCAAAATATAAAAGAGAAAATTTGTGTCGAAAATTATGTCAAAATATCTTAGACTGCCTTCTAAGATATGCCGACCTGATTTCTAAAACTCCTGAATTCTTCCATAGAGGAATCCCGAATAATTTTATCAAAAAGCAGTAACTCAAGAAAGAATTATGCGAAGAAAATTGGATTGTTCCAATTATTACGAAGACCCACATAATTTATTCCAGAGCATCTTCAAAAACAGGGTCTCATAGAATAAAATTAAAACTTTAAATTTTTTTGCGATTCACTATTATTTATTCGTTACATGCACATATTTTTTTATTATAAAACAAATCGAATTTCTAAATGATGATAGATATTAAGTCAAAATCGTATGTCAATGACAAAAAATGATTATTATTTATAACATATATAATTAACTCTATTTTTTAATATTAAATCTAAGTTTATTAATCAATAATTTTGTGTTTTAAAACTTTGCAAATTTTTCTTTATGCGTTTATTTTTTATATCTTAAGATATATAAAGACAGATTTCTTAACATATCTTTTGAAAAGTATTTTTAATAAATATGCCAATTCCATATATTTGTAAATAATCTTTAATATCTCAAAATTATCTTAGAAAAGGTATTTGTGTATTAAGTAATATTGTTCAACTGATCAGTGATAAAGATTCAGAGGAATAAAATATTTTCTGTGATTTTTAATATTGATTTAATGACAGAACTGTATATGCAAACCGTTCGATTTATCTAGTTGACTAGGATGCGCCGGCGCATAGCTGAGTCGAACTAATTTTCTCGATGCGGCGCAAGTCGATTTCTGATAAATTTCGAAATTAGGAAATTTATTACTATTATTATAAAATACTATTTTCCAAATTTGATGATCCTAAATTATCGGACTTAGAATTATAAAATTGGAAATTGGGATCGAGATATACCGATTTTTTGCTTTATTTTGTGGCTAATTGTTTAATCGGATTATCACGTGAATGGAAATCGGATTTCTCTTATGTCAAAGTAAACGACACTATTTTGATTAACACACCCCGGAAATGTAGGCATCATGTGATTTTAAAGGGATAAACCAATCAAATCGCAAAGAATCTTTTTAGAACTCTAATCATAATAAAAATTAAAATAAAGTTTTTTATAATTAAAAATTAGTTTTGTTTTTATATTAAAATAAGAATTTATATATAATAATTATTTTGTTTTTATATTAAATAAAAATATAATAATAATTAAAAATAATAAAATACTTGATTATAATTATATATTTTTTATTTTATATAAAAGTTTTTTAATTTTATAATTTAATATTGTTATCATTTTTGAAAGAACACTAAAGTGGGATAGTGCAATTCGGATTGAGTCAATCTGGATTGATTTGATTCGGATTTACATGTAGTGTTACATGCAAAATAAAATAAACTTTTCGAGAAAACATTCTCATATTTTCAAGGATGGGAAGAGGAGGAGATGGAAGCTAATTATGATTTTTATATTAAATGTAAGCTAATTAAGACTAATAATATTTATCACTATTAACATTATTAACATTAAGATATATATAACTATTAAGACATGCACTAATATACTTACTTACCATATGTACTCATAATTTCTTTATATACTCTTGCCATTTCTCTATATTTTCATATTTCTCTATATTCTCATCATTTCTTTATTTCTCTCTAATATATAAGCAACAAATAAAAAATACCTCAGTATATTTAATGTTGACAAATTATTTGAAGTTTTAGAAAAGGAATTTTGCAAAAATTTGTGACTATTTATTTCTAACATGTGGACACGATATAGTAATTAGAAATGTAAGAATAATAATTTTTGGATTGTTTACTCCTGTCATCTAGCAAAATATAGAGAATCAAGTATGTGTAAAGAAGGCATTCCCATTGAGAAGCAAAGAAAAACTAGCAAGCTTGATTCTGAAAAGTGTGATGCAAGGATAAAAATAATATATATTGCTTCAACTCAAATAGTTCATATTAAATATTTCAAAAATATATCTAATCATAGTCATTCAATCAAAGATAATGACAAGATTAAATGATCTGAAATCATTCAACAAATGGTAGCTAATAAAGCAATAAAATCATATATGCCACTAGCTATTGTGATTATCATCAAAGAACTAGCAGAAAAGAATGACTTAGGCATTATTGATCAAAATCTATGCCAAACTGAAATTGTCAATATTTAGCAAAAAATACGTGGGCTATTAATGGCTTATCTTGTAGGTGAAATGGATCTAGAACTTAATATTCAAAATTTGCTCAAGCTATTAGTTAGTAAAGATTATAAAGTTGAATGTTTTGAGATTGTTCAACAATTATTAAAAGGTTTTTGCTTTGTAAGTTCTTGATAATTGGAAAAACTATGATATTACGGATAGCTTACACTCATAGACTCCACTCACAATACTAACAAATATTTCTGATATCTATT